AAAGGCATATGAAGAGTGGATAGGGGAAGCAATGTGGAAAGATTTTTCAAGTATATGGAATAGGGGGTAAGTTATTAAATGCTGTAAAGATTTTTTTTATGAGGATAGTGGGCTCGGGTTTTAGGGTGTGTAGAAGAGGGGGAGACTTATTTTCCCGGTAAAAAGTAGGTCTTAGACAGGGATGTTTTAATGCCCACCATGGTTGTTTAATATATTTATAGAGGGGGTTGTAAAGGAATAAATGCTAGGGTGTTTCGGGAGGGGGGTTAAATTAAATTTTGGGGAATAAAATTCAAAGGGGGAATTTTAAATAGTTATTTTTTGTTTGATGATACTTTTTGCTTAGGGGAAAGGTTTTCAAAAGGAAAATTGAAAAGGGGTTTGTGGATGATTTTGGGAAATGTTTTGTAAAGGTAAAAGTTGAAAAGTGAACATAGAAAAAAAGGTAAGGTGATGAAGGTGTCAAATGTTTTAGATAAAGAAAAACGGGATATAAAAATTGGGGAGGAGGAGTATGGAAGAAGTGAATGTTTTCAGATACTTGGGGGGTTGACGTGTCGGGGGGAAATGGTTTTATGAAGGATGGGGTTTAAATCATGAATTGATGGGGGGAAAAAAAGGGTGAGGGGTTTCCTGAGGTATATGTGGAGTCAAAAAACGTTATCTAGGGGGCCCAAAGAAGGGAATGTATAAAAAGGTATAGTAGTACCAACACTCTTATTTTGGGTGTGAAGTTTTGGGTTAAAATGCACAGCGGGGGGACGGGGGGCAGGGGGAAAAGTGTCCTTTTTAAAAGGGGTAATGTGGATGAAAAATATTATGCAAAAAATTCGGAGTGTGGAAATTGGGAAAAGGTGTGGATTTAAAATAAAAGTATTAGTCAGAGGGCAGAAGGGGGTTGTTGGGTGGTTTGGTCTTTTTAGAGGAATGGATCAAGAAGAATGACTTTGGAAAGCATAAAAACCCTATAGGGGGAAGGAAGGCGGGGTGGGGGTTTCCGCCCCTCGAAAGGGTTGGGAGGGGGGGTTTAAAGGATTTTTTGGGGGGAAAGGGTTTTTTTGGATTTCCCAGCAAGCTTTGCGGGTGCGTGTTAATGGATTGAATGGAGCGAAGGGTTTTATTTGGGGGACCTGAGATCTGTTGGAGTGTGAGCAGGGTAATATTTATTTTTTAGGGATTCAGGGAAAACCGGTTATTTTCATATAGTGGGACTTGCGTCCCGGAAATGGGAATTTCAAAAGCCCGCAATTTTTAAAAGGGGGGGTTTGGGATATTGGCAATTTGGAGGGATATGTTGTGTAAATTTTTTTTGTATATGCTTCAAAATTTTTATTCTGAGCCCTCTGCAAAAGCATTTATTTAAAGTGTGAGTGTGGGGAAAGTGTTGAATGAAAAAAGAAAGTATTTTTTTTTTTTGGGGTTTTCTTTCTTTTTTGGGGCACCCTGCCCCGGGGGGAGATGGGCCGACTTGTTGAAAAAAAAAAAAAAAAAAAAATAAAGCAAATCAGGTTTGAGTTTTTGCGGGTTTGGGAAAAAAAGCAGCAAACTTCAAAGGTGGGTGGGAATGTTGCAGTTTTATTGGGTGTTTGAAAATTTTGGAAAACCTGCTCATTGGATAATCATAAAACCAGATCAAATAAATGAAAAATTTTGGGAAAAAAACTTGTACTTTCACTGGCAAACTTACCCAAAAAGGTTTCCCCCTTTATGGGTGGGGGGAAAAAACTATAAAAAAAAAAACTGCTCACAATTTGATTAGGCCCAAAAATGAATAAAGCAGTGATAGTGACTAAAAATAAATATAATCATTTAAAAAAAAAAATATAAGTTGAACTACAAAAATTTTACTCCAAGAAATAACAATACAAGTTAGAGTAAAAACTTAAAAAAGTCTTCTTTAGGGTTTAAAACCCCCTTTTAGTGTTGAACCTCTGATTCCCTTTAAATCACTCTGTTAATAATTTTTAAAAAAAAATTATGAAAAGAAACGAGAATTTTTTTCCTGATGGGAATGCACCTAAAAATACAAAATTTGATGGGAAAAATTATAAAATTATGCCCTCGCGGAAAATAGCGTCTCGGCAAAATTTACGCATCAGCAATTTCGCCCCCGTTGAGCCCCAAAATTCGGCCCAAATTTCCCTTGTTCCATCGATTTAAAAAAAACGTTTGCTATTTTGCTAGAAAATCCCTTAAATTCTACAATTGAGTACAAGAAACTGCCCCCTTTTTAAAGATTTTTCCCAAATATCCAAAAGTGGTCGAAATTGGTAATTTGGCCAATTTCAAAAAATTTTTAAAAAATGTCAATTTCAAATTTTTTTTAAAAAATTTTTATTATCACAATGACCCATTTCCCCCCCAAGGGCAGGGTGGCCCGAAAAAAAAAAAAAACTTTTCCCCCATCCCTTCACTCCCTCACGTCTTCCAGAAGGGTGCTTTACACTTTCAGTTTTTAAACTGCAACATTAACACCCCTTTCCTTTAGAGTGCGGCAAATGTACTTCCCCTCTCCAGGGGCCCCAAGTTTCCCGGGCCCGCCCGGGGGCCCCCGAACCCCTTCATAAAAGTTACTTTGTCCCCACTCCAACAGAAGTCAAGTATTTTAAAAACCCTTTGTCTCCCTTCACTCCATCAAAACCCCGCTAAAGCATGCCTGCTGGAAATCCAAACCCCCCGCACACAAAACCCCTTTTCCCCCCCCTCCCCCCAACCTTTCCTAGGCCGCCCCTTTCCCCGCCTTCCCAAAACAGAGGAAAAAAAAACCGAAGCTTTGTTTTGGGCCCTTTCTACAGGAAACCAAAAACCCCAAAAACCCCAAAACAAAAAACCGGAAAACGGGGAACCGAAACCCCCCAAAAACAGACCGGAAAAAAACAAAAACAATTGGGAGAATTTTTAAAAAAATTTAAAATGTCCAGCCTTTTCCTCCATGAAAAACACCCCCCTTTTAAAAAAAAGAGCGGGGAAAACAACCCCCCCCTTTCAACCCCCTTTCCCCCCTTTCCTTCCCAAGGAAAAATTTAAGTTCCCCATGTTTCCCCAACTCCTAAGTTGGAACCCTCCAACCCCCTTTTCCCCTCAACAATTTTGGAATTTCCCCCCCCCCCCTTTTTAACCCCTCCCTAACGTTCTCCCAAAACCCAAATTCCCCCGAATCCCTTCCCCTCCTCCACCTTCTCCCCCCAACTTTTCAACTTTTATCACCCAAACTTTTAACCCAAATTAAACCTTTTTTTAAAAATTTCCCTTTTAATTTTCCCCCCTTTTTGGCAAAATCCCTTTCCCCCAATTAATCCCCCCCCAACCTTTTTTCCCCCCCCCAAAATTCCCCCGACACCTTCCCTCCAAAGACCCCCCGTGACAACTCCCAAAAAAATTTTTAAATTTCCCCCTTTATCTTTTTCCCCCCTTTCCCCCTCTTTTTCCCAAAACCCTAAATTTTTTTCCTTAAACCCCTTCCCCTTTTTATTTAAAAAACCCCCCCGGGCCCCACCCAAATTTTTTGGTTTTTTAGGGGGGGAAAAAAAAAATTTTTTTTAACCCTAACCAAATTTACATCCAAAAAAACTTACTTCTTTAAAATAACCCAAAAACCTTTTACAAAACCCAAATTTCAAAAAACTCCCACTTTGGGGCCCCTTTTTCCCACCCCTTTTCAAGCCTTTTTTTCCAAACCCCCCTTTAAAAATTAAAAAAAGGGAAAACCTCCTTTTAAAACCTTTTACTAAATAACCCCCTTTTTTACTTTAATGGTTTTTCATTAAAAAACCCCTTTCCCCAAACCCCCTACCTTTCCCTAAACACCTTTTTTCCCTCTGAATTCCCCCCACCCCCGTCTTTCCCTTTTCTTTTCCCCAAAATAAAAAAAACCCCCTTTTCCCATTAAAAATTTTACCAAGGGTTTTCCTTAAAAAAACCCTTTTCCCCCCTAATTTTTGCCCCTTTTTGTCCCCTTTTGCCTTTAATTTTTTAAAAAAACCCACATCCTTTTCCTTTCCAAATCCCTTTTCCCCCTTTTTTCCCTCTTTTCCCCTTTCCTTTATTTAAATAATTGCACCCCTCCAAAACCCCATATCCCCCCTGCTTTTAAAATTTCACAACCCACCCAAAAAACCCCCTTTCCTTTTCCCCCCTTTTATTTTACCCCAACCCCGCCCCCCCAGAAACTTTCCCCCCCCACCACAAAATGGCCTTCCTCATCCTACAAGATTTTTATTCCTCCTTGGGCCCCCATACACAAATTTACAGCTTCCCTATCTTCATCAACATTTAACAATTCCTCAAAATATTCCCTCCATCTTCCCAATACCTCTAACTCTCCATTTAATAAGTCTCCTCTCCTATTTTTAACTGACAAATGCATTTGTTCTCTAGGCTTCCTTAACTTGTTAATCTCACTCCAAAACTTTTTCTTATTTTCAACAAAATTTGTTGATAACATCTCACCCACTCTCTCATTTGCTCTCTTTTTACATAGCTTCACCACTCTCTTAACCTCTCTCTTTTTCAAAATATGATCCAGAATAAACAAGACAGACATTCCTGGCACTAAAATAACATTTTCTCTGTTCATTAGTCACATCTACCAGCTTTTTTCCACCAGATCTGAAGACACTAGAATTTTGGCATAGCACTACAGGACCAACACTGAAAGGGTTAATGTTAGGAAAGAGAGAAGGCAAGATACCACCTACAAGGTTACACAGGGATACAAATGATCAGATCAATATTTCATAGCACCATCAAGAGGGACTATATGAGGCTACAAAGGTAAACAAAGAAAAAATTGCTGCTGAAAGGATATTAGATTTTTTTTTTCATAAATAGCAGTTAAACAACTGAAGGTATACAAGAGGATGTTTCTATCACATTCTTTTTTTTAATTATATGACAGAGTGAAAATAGGACACAGAGCACAGCTCTGCTAATTAACTAAAAAAACAAGTAAAAGAAAAATAAAAGGAAAAGGTAATGACATCCACTACTCCCCCCCTCACCTGACTGCAGGTGTAGGATTTCCTGATCTGGGTAAAGAAAAAAATAATAATTAATACTCATTTGTCTTCAAGTTTCAGCAGTATAACTTTCAGTAATTTATAATACTAATTTCCATAACTTGTCAATCTGTTTTAAAAAGTCATAGTTGATATATTAGCCAATAGATGGCAGAAATTCATGCAAACACTCAAGAGACTTGGTTTGAGTGTAAAACATTCACAGTGTATAGCATGAAACAGTGACTAATTATACTCTCTCCAAGAGAAGATTGGTGGAAGATGAGGAGATAATCAGTCCCTCAGTCTAGAGTCAATGTGTTCAGTCCAAGATTAATGGACTGAACACATCAACTCTCGGTTGAGGGACTGATTATCTCAAACTCCTCATCTTCCACCATTCTTCTCTGTATTGGATTGAAGAAGCCACTGGCTGGTAAAATGGTTCCTCAGTAAAGATTCCCAAATGTAGAACAAGTATCTCATTCTTCAACCATCATTTTGTATTAAATACGCTCTGTGCTCCAAAACAGGGCCCAACCACTGTATGACTTACTCATCACTCTTATTGTTAAGCAAGACTAGCTTCTTGTGACTGTGAAGGACAGACATAAAATTAAAGGTAAAACTTGGCCAGAAAACATGTAACAATGGAGAACCGCAGTAAGTTACATCAGTGCTTGTAGATGTGCAACTCCAGAGTGCTGACACAAGTGTCATGAGGGCTAGTAGTCAAAGTTATACCACACTAAGTGGAAACTATAAGTAGGCTCTCTGTGACCTAAGGATCACTTAAAATATGTACATTATAAGAGGTGTCAAGAACATCCAACACCAAAGTCCAGTAAGGAAAAGAAAAAATGAAAGGAAAATCCTTGGAGCATCTAGTATAGTCTTACTTGGTTCATGACAAGAAGAAGGAATTTTGAAGTTTACTGAGCACCAAGATCAAAGGTTTACTCACAACTATTCAATGGACGATTTCACAGGCACATACACATGTACTATACTCCTCCTGCAAATTAAAATTTACTGCTCCTCCCCCTCCCTTATGAAAAAACATTTACTCAGTAAAACAATAAATTTAGTCTCACTAGCTTAAAATATCCTACACTGCTAAAAAAATTATCTAATAATTTGCCTAGCCTCCTAAAATTTTTTCCAAGATCCATGCAGGTACCTCAGTGATTATAAAAACACAGAAAGCTAAGCCATTGGGAAACAGGTACAATGAACAGATGTCAATTCTTGTTGAAGGGTCCCAAACAATGCATCTGGCCAATCCCTACAAAGCTTGCTCATTGTCTGTAGGACCTATCACATCCCAAGGTCATACCAATTAATGTGATGGGCTGGTGCAAGTATGAGTAGTGGGGGGGGGGGTTGAAGAGGGTTGGAATAGTTTTAAAAATGCAGTATTAGAATGTGGGGCAGAAGTTTGTGGTTATAGGAGGGTGGGGGCAGGAGGAAAGAGGAGTGATTGGTGGAATGAAGTAAAGGGTGTGATAAGAGAAAAAGTTAGCTTAAAAGAGGTTTTTACAAAGGAGAATAGAGTATATGGAGAGTAAAAGAAAGGTGAAAGAAGGGGGTGAGAGAGTGCAAAGGAGAGCAGAAGACAGAGTGGGAGAGGCACTGTCAAGAAATTTTAATGAAAATAAGAAATTTTTTTGGAGTGAGTTAAACAAGTTAAGAAAGCCTAGAGAACGAATTGATTTGTCAGTTAAAAACAGAGTAGGGGAGATGGAGGTTTTGGGTAGATGGCGAGAATATTTTGAGGAACTTTTAAATGTCGATGAAGAAAGGGAAGTGGTAATTTCATGCACTGGCCAGGGAGGTATACCATCTTTTAGGAGTGAAGAACAACAGGATGTGAGTGTGGAGGAGGTGCGTGAGGCATTACGTAGAATGAAAGGGGGTAAAGCAGCTGGAACTGACGGGATCATGACAGAAATGTTAGAAGCAGGGGGGGATATAGTGTTGGGGTGGTTGGTATTTTTGTTTAATAAATGTATGAAAGAGGGGAAGGTACCTAGGGATTGGCAGAGAGCATGTATAGTCCCTTTATATAAAGGGAAGGGGGACAAAAGAGATTGTAAAAATTATTGAGGAATAAGTTTACCGAGTATATGCTAGGGTGTTCGGGAGAGGGGTGGGATTAAATTATGGGGAATCAAATACAAAATGGGAATGGACACAGTTGCTTTTGCTGATGATACTGTGCTTATGGGAGATTCTAAAGAAAAATTGCAAAGGTTAGTGGATGAGTTTGGGAGTGTGTGTAAAGGTAGAAAGTTGAAAGTGAATATAGAAAAGAATAAGGTGATGAGGGTATCAAATGATTTAGATAAAGAAAAATTGGATATCAAATTGGGGAGGAGGAGTATGGAAGAAGTGAATGTTTTCAGATACTTGGGAATTGACGTGTTGGCAGATGGATTTATGAAGGATGAGGTTAATCACAGAATTGATGAGGGAAAAAAGGTGAGTGGTGCATTGAGGTATATGTGGAGACAAAAAATGTTATCTATGGAGGCAAAGAAGGGAATGCATGAAAGTACAGTAGTACCAACACTCTTATATGGGTGTGAAGCTTGGGTTGCGAATGCAGCAGCGAGGAGGCGGTTGGAGGCAGTGGAGATGTCCTGTCTAAGGGCAATGTGTGGTGTAAATATTATGCAGAAAATTTGGAGTGTGGAAATTAGGAGAAGGTGTGGAGTTAATAAAAGTATCAGTCAAGAGGGCTGAAGAGGGGTTGTTGAGGTGGTTTGGTCATTTAGAGAGAATGGATCAAAGTAGAATGACATGGAAAGAGTATAAATCTGTAGGGAAAGGAAGGCGGGGTAGGGGTAGTCCTTGAAAAGGTTGGAAGGAAGGGGTAAGGGAGGCTTTGTGGGTGAGGGGCTTGGACTTCCAGCAGGCATGCAAGAGCGTGTTCGATAGGAGTGAATGAAGGTGAATGGTATTTGGGACCTGACGATCTGTTGGAGTGTGAGCAGGGTAATATTTAGTGAAGGGATTCAGGGAAACCAGTTATTTTTATATAGCTGGACTTGAGTCCTGGAAATGGGAAGTACAATGCCTGCACTCTAAAGGAGGGGTTCAGGATATTAGCGGTTTGGAGGGATATGTTGTGTATTTTTATACGTATATACTTCTAAACTGTTGTATTCTGGGCACCTCTGCAAAAACAGTGATTATGTGTGAGTGAGGTGAAAGTGTTGAATGATGGTGAAAGTATTTTCTTTTTGGGGATTTTCTTTCTTTTTTGGGTCACCCTGCCTCGGTGAAAGATGGCCGACTTGTTAAAAAAAAAAAAACCTGACCACACTCCATGGAAAAGTGAAACAGAATTCTACCTCTGTAAGCCACGCATCTCGTAAGAGGTAACCCCATCTCCTGCATATACAGTGGACCCCCACATACCGATTTTAATCCGTGCAAGAGGGCTCATTGGTATGCGAAATAATCGGTATGCGAATGAATTTTCCCCATAAGAAATAATGGAAATCAAATTAATCCGTGCAAGACACCCAAAAGTATGAAAAAAAAAAAATTTTACCACATGAAATGTTAATTTTAATACACACAAACTGAAAAAGGCATGCACAATTACATGACACTTACTTTTATTGAAGATCTGGTGATGATTGATGGGATGGGAGGAGGGGAGAGAGTGTGTTAGTGTTCAGAAGGGGAATCCCCTTCCATTAAGACTTGAGGAGTCGAGTCCTTTTCTGGGTTACTTCCCTTCTTCTTTTAATGCACTAGGACCAGCTTCAGAGTCACTGGACTTCTTTCGCACAACATATCTGTCCATAGTGGCCTGTACCTCTCGCTCCTTTATGACTTCCCTAAAGTGTTTCACAAACATTGTCAGTGTACAGGTTGCCAACACGGCTTGCAATAGCTGTGTGAGGGTGATTTTCATCCATGAAGGTTTGCACTTCAAGCCACTTTGCACAGATTTCCTTAATCTTTGTAGTAGGCAACTTCTTCAATTTCTCTCTCTCCCCTCCTCTGAACCAGTTTCCCCAGGTCTGGCCTCTTGCTCTTGAAGTTGATCTATCAGCTCATCAGTGGTTAGTTCTTCATTGTCCTCCTCCACCAACTCTTCCACATCCTCCCCACTAACCTCCAACCCCAAGGACTTTCCCAATGCCACAATGGATTCCTCAACTGGCATAATCCTCTCAGGGTTAGCCTCAAACCCTTCAAAATCCCTTTTGTCTACACATTCTGGCCACAGTTTCTTCCAAGCAGAGTTCAAGGTCTTCTTAGTCACTCCCTCCCAAGCCTTACCTATAAGGTTTACACAATTGAGGATATTAAAGTGCTCTCTCCAAAACTCTCTTAGAGTCAGTTGAGTTTCTGAGGTCACTACAAAGCACCTTTCAAACAGAGCTTTTGTGTACGGATTTTTTGAAGTTTGCAATAACCTGCTGGTCCATGGGCTGCAGGAGAGGAGTGTATTAGGAGGCAAAAACTTCACCTTAATGAATTTCATGTCCCCATAAAGTCGCTCTGCCACGTCTGTAGGATGACCAGGGGCATTGTCTAACACCAGGAGGCACTTAAGTTCTAATTTCTTTTCAGTTAGGTAATCTTTCACCATTGGAGGCAAATGCATGGTGTAACCAGTCATAAAAAAGTCCCTAGTGACCCATGCCTTACTGTTTGCCCTCCACAGCACACACAAATTCTCCTTGAGGACATTCTTTTGCCTGAACGGTCTGGGAGTTTCAGAGTGATACACTAATAAAGGCTTCACTTTGCAATCACCAGTAGCATTGGAAACACATCAACAAAGTAAGCCTGTCTTTCATAGGCTTATGTCCTGGGAGTGCCTTTTCCTCCTGAGTAATGTAGGTCCTGCTTGGCATTTTCTTCCAAAACAGGCCTGTTTCATCACAATTAAACACTTGTTCAGGTTTCAGTCCTTCACTGTCTATGTACTTCTTGAATTCCTGCACATATTTTTCAGCTGCTTTGTGGTCCGAACTGGCAGCCTCACCATGCCTTATCACACTATGTATGCCACTACGCTTCTTAAATCTCTCAAACCAACCTTTGCTGGCCTTAAATTCACTCACATCAGCACTAGTTGCAGGCATTTTTTTAATTAAATCCTCATGCAACTTCCTAGCCTTTTCGCTTATGATCGCTTGAGAGACGCTATCTCCTGCTAGCTGTTTTTCATTTATCCACACCAATAAGAGTCTCTCAACATCTTCCATCACTTGTGATCTTTGTTTCGAAAACACAGTTAAACCTTTGGCAAGAACAGCTTCCTTGATTGCCTTTCTGGTGCCCACAATAGTAGCGATGGTTGATTGGGGTTTCTTGTACAACCTGGCCAGGTCGGCGATACGCACTCCACTTTCATACTTATCAATGATCTCTTTCTTCATCTCTATTGGAATTCTCACCCTTATTGCTGTAGGGTTGGCACTAGAAGCTTTCTTGGGGCCCATGGTCACTTATTTTCCAGATAAAGCACCGAAAACACTGTAATAATACGAAATATTCCGATTGTATGCTTGGATGTTACCGCGGAGGCTGGCTGGTAAACAATGGCATGGGTGGCACATGTGAGGATGGCTGAGGGCGCACATTGGACGCGTCTCAGACGAACAGAGGTGAGCGGGTTTTTAAGCGGTATGCGAGGCAAAATTTTTGCGATTAAAGCAAGCGGTATGCGGATTAATCGTTATGTGATGCCAACGGTATGCGGGGGTCCACTGTATTACTGAAGTTAAAAAGAGAAACTTTCATTTTTCTTTTTGGACCATCCAGCTCCGGTAGGATACGGTCGGTTTGTTGAAAGAAGAACTGTGACCACAATGGCGATTCATATCATGGAGATTCAAGCTCCTTCACTCAGAACATAGGTTAGTGTTAAACAAGCAAACACTGTACACACCCATAAAGGAATGGAAGGGATATGTGCAGGTTTGAACTGTAGTACTGATGCCCCTCTGGCAGTAAGACAGTGATTGAGCGAGTGATGGTGAAAGTATCTTTTTTTTTTTTTTTGGTGGGGTGGAGGGGGCACAACTGCCACAGTGTATTTAAAAAATCCACAAAGGAATAAAAGTACTGGAAGAACACCCTAGTTCATTCCCAATATAAGGATAAACAGCTCAAAAACATAACATTTGGAAAAAAAAAAAAAAATACAGTGGACCACCGGTTAAACGATAATTTTTATCCATAGTATTTCAGGTGCCAGTACTGACCGAATTTATCCAATAAGGAATATTGTGAAGTAGATTATTCCTTCAGACCCCCAAAAACATACACGTACAAACCACTTAATAAATACACTTAATAATGGTGCATTCTGGAGTATCTTATGCGGGGGACTGTATGAGCATACCTAATGCGAAAACAAAAAAATATACAGAAGTCCAAAAAGATTATATAAAAAAGGGAAAAGTCAGGGAGGAAAGGTAGCAATGATAAATGAGATTAAAAAAAAAAGAAATCGTCCTCGCAGGACATACGATATGTAGCAAACCGTAGAAGACTGATAAAATGTTAGGTAATGACACAAATGCAACTAATGACATTTTAACTGTGGCAAGTTTGCTCTCCAGGATTTGTCAACGTTACAGCTGGATAAAACTCCTGGAGAGCAAAACATTGACACAATAAAATGTCACATTACAGTGGACCCCCACCTTATGAACGCATCGAGTTACAGTGGAACCTCAAATATCGAACTACTCCCAACACAACCAATTATGTAAGTGTATTTTTGTAAGTGCTTTTATAAGTGTATTTTTGAGGGTCTGAAATGGACTAATCTAATTTACATTATTCCTGATGGGAATAAATTCATTCGGTAAAGGCACTCGAACAGCCTTCTGCACTGAAGAAATTTCGATATTTGAGGTTCCACTGTGCGTTAAATCCGCCATACGAAGCATTTGAAAGCAAAAATTTTGCCTCGCCTCACGATAAAAAACTCGCCTTACATGATTCGTCAGGGACGCGTCCCACGTGTGGCCATCAGCGCCAGTGTTTACAAGCCAGTCAGTGCGGTCGCATCTACTCATACATTCAGTACATTTCACATTATCCCAGTGTTTTTAGTGCTTGTAACTGCAAAATAAATCACCATGAACCCCAAGAAAGCTTCTAGTGCCATCCCTGTGGTAAAAAAGGTGAGAATTAGTATGGAACTGAAAAAAGTGGGTTGAACTGCAAACCTTTACGGATAAAAATCACCCTGACACAGCTACTGCAAGCCATGTTGGCAACCTGTACAATGACAATGTTATGGCCCATTTTAGGAAAGTCTTAAAGGAACGGGAGGTACAGACCTCTATGGACAGATTTGTTGTGCGACAGAGGTCCAGTGACTCTCAAGCTGGTCCTAGTGGCATTAAAAGAAGAAGGGAAGTAACCCCAGAAAAGGACTTGCTACCTCAAGTCCTAATGGAAGGGGATTCCCCTTCTAAACAATAACTTCCACACTCTCCCCACCCATCCCATCAATCATCACCAGATCTTCAATAAAAGTAAGTGTCATGTATTCTATTGTTAGTAGAGAAGTAATTGTGCATGTCTTCTTCAGTTTGTGTGTATTAAAATTAACATTTTATGTGGTAAAAAAAATTTTTTTTTTTCATACTTTGGGGTGTCTTGCACGGATTAATTTGATTTCCATTATTTCTTATGGGGAAAATTAATTTGGTTAACGATAATTTCGGCTTACAATGAGCTCTCAGGAACGGATTAATATCGTAAGGCGGGGGTCCACTGTATAATTCTTCTACTCAACAGAAACAGAAGGGGAAAGGAGTGTAGGAAACTGCAAGAGAACCTGGACAGGTTAAGAGGATGTTCAAACAAGTGGGTTCATTTCATTTCATTTCATTTCATTTAAGGAAGGAGGGGTAGGGATCATCCTCAAAAAGGTTGGAGGAGGGTGTAAAGGAGGTTTTGTGGACTAGGAGCTTGGACTTCCAGCAAGCATGTGTGAGCGTGTTAGATAGGAGTGAATGGAGACGAATGGTTTTTGGGAGCTGGCGAGCTGTTGGAGTGTGAGCAGGGTAATATTAAGTGAAGGGATTTAGGGAAACCGGTTAGCCAGACTTGAGTCCTGGAAATGGGAAGTACAATGCCTGCACTTTAAAGGAGGGGTTTGGGATACTGACAGTTTGGAGGGGCAACAAACTGTCATATCTGAGCGCCTCTGCAAAGACTGATTATGAGTGAGGTGAAAGTGTTGAATAATGGTGAAAGTATTTTCTTTTTTTGGGATTTTCTTTCTTTTTGGGTCACCCTGCCTCGGTGGGAGATGGCCAACTTGTTGGAAAAAAAAAGGGAAAAAATTACCCTACATTTTACAAAGCTGATCCAGTTTTAAACAAAAATAGTTGAACCAAGCGTGTGAACTAATTACAATGGCAGAGGGTGGATGGGTAAATAAAAAATCAAAGAAAAAAAATAAGACATGCAAGTTCGTGTATGTACAAGCAGAGAGGTGAGGAAAAGGTTGATAGGAAGGGTGGCAAGGAACAGCACATAGGAAACAAGATGGTGGTGGTTGTGAGGGGGAGGGGGGTCAACAATGCCCCACACAGGTCACTGAACCAAATTTAATAGCAGACATTTTGAATTCTACAATTCTTGATCAATTTCTACCAATTATACATAAAATAAACATTTACAAAAATTCAATACATTTGATAAAAAGGACTGAGAAAGACAGCAACATCACTATACAGGTGGTGACACTGTAGAAACTTCCACAAACAAATACATTTTTGCTGTTCCCACTCCAAGTCATACATTCCCCAGCAAGAGCCATCATTCCCAAGTAAAAGAATTCATATTTATTTTCTTAGCCAACATAGAAATTTAACAATATTGTACTCACTTTTGGCTTTTGCTGGAGGAGAGGATGTTTTGGCCTTGGCTGGAGTCTTGCTACTGGCTCTTGCATTACGTCTGGCAGGAGTTCGTGCAATTTTCTTGGGGCTTGCTTCTACGGATACGGATAAAGATACACACACTACATAAGCTGTGTAACATAACCCACAGTTAAAGGTATCCTACCTTCAAGCAACTATAATTAAAGATTTATGGCATAGTTTTAAAATATTTTTAAAATGAACTGCTGCATTCTATTTCATAAATTTGGAACTACAATTAAAGACGTATGACATAGTTTTAAAATATTTTTCAAAGAACTGCTGCTTTTCTTTTAAGTTTTAATTGGAAATAACTCAATGTTTAACACACTGCTGCCAACAGCAGATGTAAAGAAACCATTGCCTTTCCTAGATCTTGTTGTTATTCATATAATCATCAGAAGTGTTCAACACATGTGGGTAATACAGTGCCTGGGGCATGGGAGACAATTATGCTTAATCCAAGGACAGGAACAGTTAACTCCAATTTCTTGGATCAAGACCCTATCAGCATCAAAGGCACCTTTCACAATTATTAATTTTTCCTTTGAGTATCTAGGGAGGAATCCATTTACTATTGTTTTCTTTTCTTTTTAACACATCAGCCATTTCCCAGAGGCAGGGTGACCCAAAAAAGAAGAAACAAGAGTGTTTAATTCCTTTTACATTTAGTAATTTATACAGGAGAAGGGGTTACTAGCTCCTTATTCGAAGCATTTTAGTCGTCTCTTACCACATAGCTTACGGAGGAAAGATTCTTCTCCGCTTCCCCATGAGTTACTGTTAGAAATCTTTTTCTGACCTTTTTCTACTTCAAGCCATCCATTCTTGAGAGAAAACCTCTGAAGAATCATTCCTGAAGATGTTTCTGACATCTTTAGTATAGTAGTGAATTAAAAGGACCAAAAATAAATACAGTACTATAAAAAAAAGGGCAGTGGGGGGAGAGGAGACAAATAAATAACACAACACATCCTGCCAAATGTGCACAACAAATTCAACAGCATACACAAGAAAAGGAAATCACTAAAACAACATTCAGGAACTTATATTAAGAATCCTTCAGAACTATACACACTACATCTTAGACTCATCAAAGAGTACATGGTCCTACAATAAAGAACTCATTTGATCACTTGCAAAAATGCAAAAAGGTTCAAAGGTTTGCTAAAAGAATAATACCAGAACTGAGAGAAATGCAGCACAAGGAAAGGCTGAGGAAAATGAACCTAACGATCACACCAAAAAAGGAAACATTTTTACATAAAATTATTAAAGGCCCTATATTACCGACCATAAGTTGAAATGGCAGCAGTCTCGTAACTCCCAGCTCCAATAGCATATACATTAATTTTTTTTTTTTTTAACAAGTCAGCCATCTCCCACCAAGGCAGGGTGACCCAAAAAGAAAGAAAATCCCCAAAAAGAAAATACTTTCATCATCATTCAACACTTTCACCACACTCACACATAATCACTGTTTTTGCAGAAGTGCTCAGAACACAACAGTTTAGAAGCATATACGTATAAAGATACACAACATATCCCTCCAAACTGCCAATATCCCAAACCCCTCCTTTAAAGTGCAGGCATTGTGCTTCCCATTTCCAGGACTCAGTCCGGCTATATAAAAATAACCGGTTTCCCTGAATCCCTTCATTAAATATTACCCTGCTCACACTCCAACAGATCGTCAGGTTCCGAATACCATTCGTCTCCATTCACTCCTATTGAACACGCTCATGCACGCATGCTGGAAGTCCAAGCCCCTCACCCAGAAAACCTCCCTTACCCCTTCCTTCCAACCTTTTCAAGGACGACCCCTACCCCACCCTCCTTCCCCTACAGATTTAAATGCTCTCCATGTTATCCTACTTTGATCCATTCTCTCTAAATGACCAAACCACCTCAACAACCCCTCTTCAGCCCTCTGACTAATACTTTTATTAACTCCACACCTTCTCCTAATTTATACACTCCGAATTTTCTGCATAATATTTACACTACACATTGCCCTTAGACAGGACATCTCCACTGCCTCCAACCGCCTCCTCGCTGCTGCATTCACAACCCAAGCTTCACACTCATATAAGTGTTGGTACTACCATCCTTTCATACATTCCCTTCTTTGCCTCCATAGATAACGTTTTTTGTCTCCACATATACCTTAACGCACCACTCACCTTTTTTCCCTCATCAATTCTATGACTAACCTCATCCTTCATAAATCCATCCGTCGACACGTCAACTCCCAAGTATCTGAAAACATTCACTTCTTCCATACTCCTCCTCCCCAATTTGATATCAAATTTTTCTTTATCTAAATCATTTGATACCCTCATCACCTTACTCTTTTCTATGTTCACTTTCAACTTTCTACCTTTACGCACACTCCCAAACTCATCCACTAACCTTTGCAATTTTTCTTTAGAATCTCCCATAAGCACAGTATCATCAGCAAAACGCAACTGTGTCAATTACCATTTTTGTGGCATTTATGGATTTGGAAAAGGCGTATGACAGGGTGGATAGGGGGGCAATGTGGCAGATGTTGCAAGTGTATGGTGTAGGAGGTAGGTTACTGAAAGCAGTGAAGAGTTTTTACGAGGATAGTGAGGCTCAAGTTAGAGTATGTAGGAAAGAGGGAAATTTTTTCCCAGTAAAAGTAGGCCTTAGACAAGGATGTGTGATGTCACCATGGTTGTTTAATATATTTATAGATGGGGTTGTAAGGAAGTAAATGCGAGGGTTCTTGCAAGAGGCGTGGAGTTAAAAGATAAAGAATCACACACAAAGTGGGAGTTGTCACAGTGCTCTTTGCTGATGACCTGTGCTCTTGGGAGATTCTGAAGAGAAGTTGCAGAGAATTGTTGTGATGAATTTGGTAGGGTGTGCAATAAGAAGAAATTAAAGGTGAATACAGGAAAGAGTAAGGTATGAGGATAACAAAAAGATTAGGTGATGAAAGATTGAATATCAGATTGGAGGGAGAGAGTATGGAGGAGGTGAACGTATTCAGATATTTGGGAGTGGACGTGTCAGCGGATGGGTCTATGAAAGATGAGGTGAATCATAGAATTGATGAGGGAAAAAGAGTGAGTGGTGCACTTAGGAGTCTGTGGAGACAAAGAACTTTGTCCTTGGAGGCAAAGAGGGGAATGTATGAGAGTATAGTTTTACCAACGCTCTTATATGGGTGTGAAGCGTGGGTGATGAATGTTGCAGCGAGGAGAAGGCTGGAGGCAGTGGAGATGTCGTGTCTGAGGGCAATGTGTGTGGTGTGAATATAATGCAGAGAATTCGTAGTTTGGAAGTTAGGAGGAGGTGCGGGATTACCAAAACTGTTGTCCAGAGGGCGGAGGAAGGGTTGTTGAGGTGGTTCGGGCATGTAGAGAGAATGGAGCGATACAGAATGACTTCAAGAGTGTATCAGTCTGTAGTGGAAGGAAGGCGGGGTAGGGGTCGGCCTAGGAAGGGTTGGAGGGAGGGGGTAAAGGAGGTTTTGTGTGCGAGGGGCTTGGACTTCCAGCAGGCATGCTGTGAGCGTGTTTGATAGGAGTGAATGGAGACAAATGGTTTTTAATACTTGACGTGCTGTTGGAGTGTGAGCAAAGTAACATTATGAAGGGATTCAGGGAAACCGGCAGGCCGGACTTGAGTCCTGGAGATGGGAAGTACAGTGCCTGCACTCTGAAGGAGGGGTGTTTTATGTTGCAGTTTAAAAACTGTAGTGTAAAGCACCCTTCTGGCAAGACAGTGATGGAGTGAATGATGGTGAAAGTTTTTCTTTTTCGGGCCACCCTGCCTTGGTGTGAATCGGCCAGTGTGATAATAAAAAAAAAAAAAAAAAAAAATAATTTAACCCCACCCCTCTCCCAAACACCCTAGCATTTACTTCTTTTACAACCCCATCTATAAATATATTAAACAACCATGGTGACATTACACATCCCTGTCTAAGACCTACTTTTACCGGGAAGTATTTTCCCTCTCTTCTACACACCCTAACCTGAGCCTCACTATCCTCATAAAAACTCTTTACAGCATTTAGTAACTTACTACCTATTCCATATACTTGCAACATCTGCCACATTGCTCCCCTATCCACTCTATCATATGCCTTTTCTAAATCCATAAATGCAATAAAAACTTTCCTACCTTTATCTAAATACTGTTCACATATATGCTTCAATGTAAACACTTGATCTACACATCCCCTACCCAGTCTGAAACCTCTCTGCTCATCTGCAATCCTACATTCTGTCTTACCTCTAATTCTTTCAATTATAACCCTACCATACACTTTTCCTGGTATACTCAGTAAACTTATTCCTCTATAATTTTTACAATCTCTTTTGTCCCCCTTCTCTTTATATAAAGGGACTATACATGCTCTTCGCCAATCCCTAGGTACCTTTCCCTCTTTCATACATTTATTAAACAAAAATACCAACCACTCCAACACTATATCCCCTCCTGCTTTTAACATTTCTGTCATGATCCCATCAGTTCCAGCTGCTTTACCCCCTTTCATCCTACGTAATGCCTCACGCACCTCCCTCACTCACATTTCAGTTCTGATGTATCACTTCTTTAAATATTGCTTTGGTAATTGTGGTCAATATACACTGATAAATACCAGTGAGCATGTCAGATAGGAGTGAATGGAGACTAATGGTTTTTGGTATTTGACAAGCTATTGGAGTGCGAGCAGGGTAAAATTTTGGGAAGGGATTCTGGGAAACCGGTTAGCTGGACTTAAGTCCTGGAGGTGGGAGGTACAATGCCTGCACTTTCAAGGAGGGGTTTGGGATATTTACTGCTTGGAGTGACCTCTAACCTGTCGTCTCTAGACGCCTCTGCAAAGACAGTGATTATGTATAAGTGATGTGAAAGTGTTTTTTTTTTTTTTTTTTTTTTGGGTCACTGCCTTGGTGGGAGATCACCAATGTGTTGAAATAAAAAAAAAAAAGTCAGGAAGTACCACTTTGGTCTCAGGTCGCAGAAAAGTGGAATTAGTACGAAGTACTGATATATGCAAAAAGGCAAGAAAAATGCAAAAGAGAGGGCCAGAGAGAAATCTGTTTCCCAACAAAAAACCCCATCTGACAACCCCACAGACTCTGAGAGCCCACCATGCTTACAACCACAGCCTATGTAAAGAAAAAATAATCAGTTTAGTATTACACTTGCAGGATAACTGCCATACTTAAAATTAACTAATTTACCTTCGCTATTATCAGATTCTTCTTCCGACTCCACACCACTCTCTCCCGAGGATTCTTCTTTCTTCTTCCTCTTCCCTGTCGAACTTCTCTTCCTCCTAGTCTTAAGCTGATCTTCATTTGTGTACAATGAAAGATCCACTGAAAGTTTGAATAGAAAAGTCATAAAACCAAGATAACGTAAAAAAGAAAAAGAAAAAACTACAATAGAAAAGTTCTTTTCTTCTTTTTTCAACAAACTGGCCATATCCCACCGAGGCAGGGTGGCCCAAAAAGAAAAACAAAAGCTTCTCCTTTTAACTTTAGTAATGTATACAAGAGAATGGATTATTAGCCCCTTTCTCCCATTAGAAAATTACAGTTAATAATAATCTCTAGTAAGCTCATACGTTTCTCTGGCAAGTCAAATATTCCAAACCCCTAAGCCATACGAACGCATTCTAAAAACCTCAAAAATTTACAGCTTCAAAAATAGCATGAAATGCCTTCACTGCATGTTAGGCACCTACCACAAAATTATGTACATTACCTATGTGGACAATACAGGAACCATGTGGAAAAACAAATTTTTTTTTAAACAATTTTTATAAAATTTACAAGGTAAAGCCTATATGTAATAATGCATTCTGTAATGGGCATCTCATTACTAGTATGCAATTTTTTTTATTACTGTATATCAGGAGGTGTGGAGTTACTAAAATTATTAGTCAGAGGGCTGAAGAGGAGTTGTTGAGGTGGTTTGGTCATTTAGAGAGAATGGATCAAAGTAGAATGACTTGGAGAACGTATAAATCTGTAGGGTAAGGAAGGCGGGGTAGAGGTCGTCCTTGAAAAGGTTGGAGGGAGGGGTTAAGGAGATTTTGTGGGCACGGCTTGGACTTCTAGCAAGCATGCATGAGCATGTTAGATAGGAGTGAATAGAGATGAATAGTTTTTGGGACCTGACGAGCTGTTGGAGAGTGAGCAAGGTAATAGTATTTAGTGAAGGGATTCAGGGAAACCAGTTATTTTTATATAGCCAAAGTTGGTACTGGAAATTCGAAGTACAATGCCTGTACTTTAAAGGAGGGGTTTGGGATATTGGCAGTTTCAAGGGATATGTAATAAATCTTTATATATGCTTCTAAACTGTTGTATCTGAGCACCTCTGCTAAGACAGTGATTATGTGTGAGTGAGGTGAAGTGTTGAATGATGATGAAAGTATATTCTTTTTGGGGATTTTCTTAAAGTATATTCTTTTTGGGGATTTTCTTTGTTTTTGGATAAGAGAGAGGAGAGAGGAGAGAGAGAGAGAGAGAAGGAGAGAGAGAGGAGAGGGACAGAGAGAAGACAGAGAGAGAAGACAGAAGAGAGACAGACAGGAGAGACAGGAGGACAGAGAGACAGAAGAGAGAGACGAGAGAGAGAGAAGAGAGACAGAGAGAGAGAGAGAAGAGAAGAGACGAGAGGGAGACAGAGAGAGAGGACAGAGAGAGAGACAGAGAGAGACAGAGAGACAGAGAGACAGAGACAGAGGAGAGACAGACAGACAGAGAGAGAAGAGACAGAAGAGAGACGAGAGAGACAGAGAGAGAGAGACAGAGAGAAGAGACAGAGAGAGAGACAGAAGGACAGAGAGACAGACAGAAGAGAGACAGAGAGAGACAGAGAGAGAGACAGAGAGAGAGACAGAGAGAGAGACAGAGAAGAGAGACAGAGAGAGACAGAGAAGAGAGACAGACAGAGACAGAGAGACAGACAGAGAGACAGACAGAGAGACAGAGAGACAGACAGAGAGACAGAGAGAGACAGACAGACAGAGACAGACAGACAGAGCAGAGACAGACAGAAAAAGACAGAGAGAGACAGAGACAGACAGACAGAGAGACAGAGACAGACAGAGACAGAGAGACAGAGACAGAGAGACAGAGACAGACAGAGAGACAGAGACAGAGAGACAGAGAGAGAGAGAGAGAAAGTATGCATGTATGATCTAGCTAAATTTCTGGCAGCTCATGGCTATATCTGGACAAAAATGCTAAAAATTTAAAAATATATTTATTAAACTATAGGGCACTTTAATCACAAACTTCAACAATAGGCTTTTAAATTTTTGATCATAATATCTTAAATTGCAAGCATTATTCAGTAGTAACATTCCAACTCAATAAATTTATTTAGAGCCACAGAGTAGAGGCATCCCTTGTATTATGTGGTAACGTATTCCAGGCCCATGGTAGCTATAATAATCCAAACAGGTCATAATCACCACTTTAACTCATGATAGAAAACTTCACAGTTTGCAAATCATATTAAAACACATAGAGAGTATTTATATAGCACTGGTAGAAATGGGGCCTCACATGAAAAGAGAATTTGAATATAACAAACCCACATAAAGCAAGGGATTACTGACAGCATGTTAAGTTTTAGGTCATCCTCTAACAGTGAATAAAATCCAAACAACCTGTACCCATGATAATGGGTCCTGGAGCAAGATCTTGCTACATTCACAGAGCACTGAATTTTAACTATGCAGACGTTCGCTGACAGATTTCCAAGTAATTTAAGCTGTTTCTCTATGGTATAAAAGAAGTAATTATGGTAGAATTATCAACAAAATGTTAGGTAAAGGACACAACTGCAACTAATGTGACATTTTACTGTAGTAACATTTTGGTCTCCAGCTTTGTAAAATCATTATGTAACAGCTTGACAAAGCTCCTGGAAAGCAAAACGCTGCAACAATAAAATGTCACATTAGTTGAATCTGTGTCCTTTTATGTAATAGTATAAGTATTAATAGTGAGCTATTAATATCACCAAAGTCTACCCAAAATTACTGGCTGGTGATCTGATATTTTTATTGCCTCCTACTGAAAACGGAAACCCAAAATCTCAGCACTTACATCCATCAGGATGATTAGGATCCACACTTTGCTTGTCTTCCACAACCCCCTTCTCTAAGTCCATAGCACGTTTTAAAATATTGTTGATTCGGGTTTCTTCATCGGGTTTTAACCGTAGCGTATAGCGGTCTATCCGTTCCAAACTTACAGTTGTTAGAATGCAGTCAAAATCTGTAAAAATAAATGAACAACACATTTATAATGATCACAACAGTTTTAATATTAAAAGGAATTATATTTCAACCCCTAAATTGTACAAGAAAAAATATGAATGTTAAGACAGCGTTTAAACGAGAAATTTATAATTATGAGTCCTGTTAAAATATTTAACGACATGACTTACAGAGGAAGAATTCTGTTCCACTTCACCATGGAGATACGAGGGAAGAAACAAGAACAAAAACTAGTAAGAAAATAGAAGAAAACCCAGGAGAGTATGTATATATACATATGCTTGTACATGCAAGTGTAGTGTGACCTAAGTGTAAGTAGAAGTAGCAAGATGTTCCTGAAATCTCGCATGTTTTTAAGACAGAAAAAAGACACCAGCAATCCTACCATCATATAAAACAATTACAGGCTTCCGTTTTACACTCACTCGGCAGGATGGTAGTATGTACCTCTCTGGGTGGTTGCTGTCTATCAACCTACTACCTAGGTAAAAAAATAATTACACTATTCAAAAAAATTCATCCAATATCCATTTTTTATGTCCCCCCCCATAAACATCAGATATTGGATGATGCATTGTATTTATTACCTGTAATATCATAATAATCGGGCTTGTACGTATTGCAGCTCTTGTTGTCGGGTTCCTCGGGGGATAACCATCGTATTTTAATTTTTCGAGTGTTTCTAAAGACGTTCTGAGCGACTTGGCACAAGTAGAAAGTGCCTTCCGAATTTCTCAAGGCCACGTGCTCATTTCTGAAAAGTAAATATTTTATTAAACAACCACCAAACAACTTCTTGCATACCACTTTCTTCCAATCTAATGAGAACTCTGTGAATTTGCAGCCCAGAGTTCATAGATAGGGAAATACTGAAGACTTATGAAATAGCACATGATCTATAATATCCAAAAGATTTAATTGATGAATCTTTTAAAACTGCCACAAGTACATTCCACAATTTAAATCCAACCATATACACTTGCCCAACCTATTTTTATGCTACCCAAGCCATAGCTTTTGTAACCTTTTTACTCAAGTACCAGCTGACTTTTCCACATGAATAACTACTACCACTAGTATTACACCTCAGCCTATATATACCCTCTGTGACCATGTAGTGTTTGTAACGGCTTGACAAAGCTCCTGGAGAGAGAAACGTTGCCACAATAAAATGTCACATTAATTACACTTGTGGAGAGAGGGAGAATGAGGGGAGATATCATTGAGGTGTATAAGTGGATGATGGGCAAAACAAAGGTGATATTAACCCTTTCAGGGATTTTCCGACGTACTAGTACGGCTTACGCACCAGGGTTTTTGACGTACCAATACGCCTAAATTCTAGCGCCCTCAAATCTAGTGAGAGAAAGCTGGTAGGCCTATATATAAAAGAATGGGTCTATGTGGTCAGTGTGCGCAGTATAAAAAAAATCCTGAAGCACGCAGTGCGTAATGAGAAAAAAAAAAAACTTTTGACAGTGTTTTTGGTATAAAACAGCGACTTTGCGCTGTACAGTGGACCCCCGCATAACGCTTTGGCATCGCATAGTGTTAAATCCGCATAGCGATACATTTTATCGCTAAAATTTTGCCTCGCATAGTGCTAAAAAATTCGCTCAACGCGATTCGTCCGAGACACATCCATGCAGCCTGAGCCAGCCTCACTTGTTCTGCCAGTGGCATTGTTTACAAGCCAGCCTCCGCGGTAACATCAAGCATACAATCGGAACATTTCGTATTATTACAGCCTTTTTATAGTGATTTCACCTGAAAAATGGGCCCCAAGAAAGCTTCTAGTGCCAACCCTACAGGAATAAGGGTGAGAATTACTATGGAGATGAAGAAAGAGATCATTGCTAAGTATGAAAGTGGAGTGCGTGTCTCCGAGCTGGCCAGGTTGTATAGTAAACCCCAATCAACCATCGCTTCTATTGTGTCCAAGAGAACGGCAATCAAGGAAGCTGTTCTTGCCAAAGGTTTAACTGTGCATTTGAAACAGAGATCGCAAGTGATAGAAGATGTTGAGAGACTGTTATTGGTGTGGATAAATGAAAAACAGATAACAGGCGATAGCATCTCTCAAGCAATCATAAGTGAAAAGGCTAGGAAGTTGCATGAGGATTTAATTAGAAAAATGCCTGCAACTAGTGGTGATGCGAGTGAATTTAAGGCCAGCAAAGGTTGGTTTGAGAGATTTAAGAGGCGTAGTGGCATACATAGTGTGATAAGGCATGGTGAGGCTGCCAGTTCGGACAAAAAAGCAGCTGAAAAATATGTGCATGAATTCAAGGAGTACATAGAGAGTGAAGGACTGAAACCTGAACAAGTGTTTAATTGTGACGAAACAGGCCTGTTTTGGAAGAAAATGCCAAGCAGGACCTACATTACTCAGGAGGAAAAGGCACTCCCAGGACATAAGCCTATGAAAGACAGGCTTACTCTTCTCATGTGTGCCAATGCTAGTGGTGATTGCAAAGTGAAGCCTTTATTAGTGTATCACTCTGAAACTCCCAGAGCATTCAGGCAAAGAATATCCTCAAGGCTAATCTGTGTGTGCTGTGGAGGGCAAACAATAAGGCATGGGTCACTAGGTACTTTTTCTATGACTGGTTACACCAAGCATTGCTCCCACTGTGAAAAATTACCTAACTGAAAAGAAATTAAACCTTAAGTGCCTCCTGGTGTTAGACAATGCCCCTGGTCATCCTACAGACTTGGCAGAGCGACTTTGTGGGGACATGAGCTTCATTAAGGTGAAGTTTTTGCCTCCTAATACCACTCCTCTCCTGCAGCCCATAGACCAGCAGGTTATTGCAAACTTCAAAAAACTGTACACAAAAGCTCTGTTTGAAAGGTGCTTTGTAGTGACCTCAGAAACTCAACTGACTCTATAAGAGAGTTTGGAGAGAGCACTTTAATATCCTCAATTGTGTAAACCTTATAGGTAAGGCTTGGGAGGGAGTGACTAAGAGGACCTTGAACTCTGCTTGGAAGAAACTGTGGCCAGAATGTGTAGACCAAGGGATTTTGAAGGATTTGAGGCTAACCTGAGATCCTATGCCAGTTGAGGAATCAATTGTGGCATTGGGGAAGTCCTTGGGGTTGGAGGTTAGTGGGAAGGATGTGGAAGAGTTGGTGGAGGACAATGAAGAACTAACCACTGATGAGCTGCTAGATCAACTTCAACAGCAAGAGGCCACACCTGAGGAAATTGCTTCGGAGGAGGGGAGAGAGAAATTGAAGAAGTTGCCTACTTCAAAGATTAAGGAAATCTGTGCAAAGTGGCTTGAAGTGCAAACCTTCATGGATGAAAATCACCCTCAGACAGCTATTGCAAGCCGTGCTGATGACTATTACACTGACACTGTTGTGAAACACTTTAGAAAAGTCATAAAGGAACCAGAGGTACAGGCCACTATGGACAGATATGTTGTGCGACAGAAGTCCAGTGACTCTGAAGCTGGCCCTAGTGGCATTAAAAGAAGAAGGGAAGCAACCCCAGAAAAGGACTTGACACCTCAAGTCCTAATGGAAGGGGATTCCCCTTCTAAACACTAAAACCATCCAGTCTCCCCTCCTCCCATCCCATCAATCATCACCCCATCTTCAATAAAGGTAAGTGTCATGTAACTGTGCATGTTTTCTTAAGTTTGTGTGTATTAAAATTAATATTTCATATGAAATTTTTTTTTTCATACTTTTGGGCATCTTGCACGGATTAATTTGATTTCCACTATTTCTTATGGGGAAAATTAATTCGCATAACGATAATTTCGCATAACAGTGAGCTCTCAGGAACGGATTAATAGCGTTATGCGGGGATCCACTGTATTTTTGTATGGTATTTATGATGGTATTCTAGTTTTCCTGGTCTTATTTTATAGAATGGGAGACATATTACAGAAATTGAGATGATTTTGATTGGTTTTAAAGTGAAAAGTACCTTGAAATTGAGCTCAAATTAGCAGAAATCTTTGATTTTCTGCCAAAGTTCAAAAATAAACAAACCATGCTATGCATCCAATACACGTCAACTAGTGAGTCTAATATTCTTTCACAAGTGCGCTGATATTATTTATACCATTTCTACACTAATACAGTAGTCTGCATAACAGTAAATCTTCTATTTTTTGTGAGAATAAAAATTCAAAGTGGAAAGCAAAAGAATGTAAGAGGGGCGTGGGGACGTGACTAATGAACAGAGGAAATGTTATTTTAGTGCCAGGAATGTCTTTCTTGTTTATTCTAGACCCTATTTGGAAATTGGCATCTTTTGAAATTTGTGTGAAATTGGCAAAATTGCTAAATTCTGACCACTTTATTGGATAGTTGAAATCGGTAAATGGGTAGTTTCTTGTACTCATTCGATAGAAAAAATGGAGTTCTAGCGAAATAGTTATGATTTTTGTCTACTAGTACACCCTAATAATAAATTAAAAACCAATTACCTGAAGAAAACAATAAGTTTATCCTGAGGTGATTTTGTGGTAGATGAGTCTGTTTTCCGAACTCTGTTCAAGGAATCCAAACCAGGAGATTGGTACAAGTTTGCAGGGTTACGAGGTCGCTTACTGCGTCTTTCATCACCTGGAGTCTCTGCGGCTGATATTTCACGCTTTTGCTGCAACAAATATTTTTATTAATCATAAGAAAATAAGTTCTCTAAACATTACACATACTGCACTTACTGCGTATGTATAATTAAAATGTATACAAGGTAGTAAACATCATGGAGAAATGGAAAGGAATCCTTCCTCCATAAGCCATACATGTAAGCCTTAAGAGGCATCTGAAATGCCGGGAACAAGGGGATAGCAACCCTTTCTCCTGTATGAATTACTAAATGTAAAATGAAGATAAACTTTGTAGTTTTCTTTTTTTGGGTCACCTGCCTTGGTGGGGAAATGGTCGATATGTTGAAAAACAAAAAAAATAGTAGTACAGTACGTATATGTATTTAACACTAAAATATTATCCTCACATTATTATATTTGTGTGGAAGTGCCAAACGAACGGAGTTATAAAATCCTGACTAATAGAAGTAACTAGGTTTGATCTTAAGAGGGCAGCAGATCTAATTCATTGGATCAAGAGCCAACATCCACATCCCACTGAAGGGATCTAATGTAGAGAAACCCGTTTTCTGCACAGAATATAGTGACTGGTATAAACAAGCTTTTAATCGAACACACATGTAGAGTAATTAAGTAGTACTGGCATGACCAGTGCTCAAATAAAGGTCTTTACACCTCACCTTGGTGTATGTACAGTACATCTCTCCAAAAATTATAATCACAAATGCAACTGAATCTAGGACATGCCCCAGAAGTGGATACTGGGTGTGAATAAATGCATATTTCAAATACAGTATTATATACAATTTTAGTTATGTTCTATTACACATACATTTTAATTTTAGCTTGCCTAAAACGTTCTGTATAACCAAGGGGTTTTACACATGATCATCCAGTTTTCTAAAAACTATGCACTTTAAAATAATTTATTTTATGTATTATTATTATATTTATAGATGGGGTTGTAAAAGAAGTAAATGCTAGGGTGTTCGGGAGAGGGGTGAGATTAAATTATGGGGAATCAAATTCAAAATGGGAATTGACACAGTTGCTTTTTGCTGATGATACTGTGCTTATGGGAGATTCTAAAGAAAAATTGCAAAGGTTAGTGGATGAGTTTGGGAATGTGTGTAAAGGTAGAAAGTTGAAAGTGAACATAGAAAAGAGTAAGGTGATGAGGGTGTCAAATGATTTAGATAAAGAAAAATTGGATTTCAAATTGGGGAGGAGGAGTATGGAAGAAGTGAATGTTTTCAGATACTACTTGGGAGTTGACGTGTCGACGGATGGATTTATGAAGGATGAGGTTGATGAGGGAAAAAAGGTGAGTGGTGCGTTGAGGTATATGTGGAGTCAAAAAACGTCATCTATGGAGGCAAAGAAGGGAATGTATGAAAGTATAGTAGTACCAACACTCTTATATGGATGTGAAGCTTGGGTGGTAAATGCAGCAGCGAGGAGATGGTTGGAGGCAGTGGAGATGTCCTGTCTAAGGGCAATGTGTGGTGTAAATATTATGCAGAAAATTCGGAGTGTGGAAATTAGGAAAAGGTGTGGAGTTAATAAAAGTATTAGTCAGAGGGCAGAAGAGGGGTTGTTGAGGTGGTTTGGTCATTTAGAGAGAATGGATCAAAGTAGAATGACATGGAAAGCATATAAATCTATAGGGGAAGGAAGGCGAGGTAGGGGTCGTCCTCGAAAGGGTTGGAGAGAGGGGGGTAAAGGAGGTTTTGTGGGCAAGGGGCTTGGACTTCCAGCAAGCGTGCGTGAGCGTGTTAGATAGAAGTGAATGGAGACAAATGGTACTTGGGACCTGACGATCTGTTGGAGTGTGAGCAGGGTAATATTTAGTGAAGGGATTCAGGGAAACCGGTTATTTTCATATAGTCGGACTTGAGTCCTGGAAATGGGAAGTACAATGCCTGCACTTTCAAGGAGTGGTTTGGGATATTGGCAGTTTGGAGGGATATGTTGTGTATCTTTATACATATATGCTTCTAAACTGTTGTATTCTGAGCACCTCTGCAAAAACAGTGATTATGTGTCTGTGTGGTGAAAGTGTTGAATGATGATGAAAGCATTTTCTTTTTGGGGAATTTCTTTCATTTTTGGGTCACCCTGCCTCGGTGGGAGACGGCCGACTTGTTGAAAAAAAAAAAATCATTATTATTTCTATTACCATTATTATTATTGTTATTATTATAATGCTTTAGCCTCCTATGATAAAGTAATTTAAATGTTACATTTACAACAACAAATTTTAATCAAACACTACAACAATGAAAAATTGTGATAATTTAGTTTAACTTTTTAAAAGCTGATATTTACTTGACACCAAGTACTATATAACATTAATGCACTCAATGGTATGCAGCATGCAATTAAAAAAAATTAACGAGTTAAATTAATATACATGTACTAGTCTAAAACACGAAAAATTTTCATGTTATCCCAAAATGACGCAGCACGAGAACATAAAATGCAACATTGTTCACTGTCAGCATGAACAGACAAAGATATTCATTACTGTATCTAAGTAGGACTTTTATAACAAAAAGAAACAGAACTGCCAGTCTACATCAAGGGTTGCCAGTGCTGTACTCACTGCTCCACCTGCAATATCATTGCAACAATACATCATTTGGGGATTAGTTAATACATAATAGCTCTCCATAGAAAAGGAGCAATAAGCAACCTACTCTGGGTGTTCGTGTCTTTTTCGGCGTATCGGGGATATCCTCGTCTTTTGCGTCAGCATGGTTAACAGTCTTTGCATCTGTTGAATTTTCAATAGAAGACTTGGCACTTGGGCTCTCTTTCACAATTTCTTTCTTGGGTTGAGGGACTGATGTTTCAACTTTTGGCTTATTAACTGGAGAGGCAGGTTTGGGCAGTGACACTGCTGGAGGCAAAGATGGCTTGGTTTCAGTGGATGGAGCTTCAGTAGGCTTTGATGGCAGAAGGGGATTAATAGGCTTCACCGGCGACTTGGACACTGGCACTCCATTAACACTTGGAATTGTTTGAGTCTTCGCAATTGTATCTACAGACAGCTTTGTGGTTTCTACTGCTTTGTGTGGAGGAATTTCTGAGACAGCAGGTTTTTGTGAAAGTATCTCAGTGAGTGAGGGTTTGGGATGAGGTGTGGGTGTAGCAGCAGGTGTAGTGGCTGCTGGTGGCTTTGTGGAAGTATTAAGAGCTGAGGATGCTGGTGGCATTGGCTTAGCTTGCTGAGGCAGCTGGGGAGGTTTCTGTATAGGTAGTGGCATGGCATTGGCGAGTCTTGGTGGTTGACCCTGACCGGCTATGGTTACAGGTGTGATCGATGCGTAGGGCTTTGGACTCTGTGTAGGGCCAGTTGGAGGGCCAGCAGGCTGGGCAGGCTTAATACTAAGAGGAATCACTGAAGCAGGTATAGGTACAGCAGCTGGTACAGGTTTTGTGGGTGATGCAGACTGAGCTTGTCCTAGTTTAGGTTGGTTGGCAGATGGTATAGAGGCTGGAGAGGGTTGTGAGATCTGAGGGGATTTATGAAAGCTAGGAGTTATAGAAACGGATGGCATAAGTGGCTTTGATGAGATTGCTGCATTCTGTGATAGTGCAGCAGGCTTCAGAGGCTGTGAATGCTGTTGGTGTTGAACTGGAAGAGCAGGCTTTGGGGGTTGTTGATGTTGAGGCTGTTGGAGAGATACAGCTGGCTTTGGTGCTTGTTGATGTTGTGGTTGCTGCTGGTGCTGTTGTTGCTGTTGCTGCTGCTGCTGCTGCTGCTGCTGCTGATGCAGCTGTTGTTGCTGATGCAACTGTTGATGAACAGGTACAGCTAGTTTAGGCTGCTGCTGTTGTGGTTGCTGTTGCTGCTGCTGTTGTGCCTGCTGCTGCTGCTGTTGTTGTTGCTGCTGCTGCTGCTGCTGCTGCTGCTGCTGCTGCTGCTGTTGTTGCTGCTGCTGATGCTGCTGCTGCTGATGCTGCTGCAGCTGCTGTTGCTGCTGCAAGTGTGTCTGCAGGTGTGACTGCTGCTGCATCACTTGTGTTGTAGATTTAGAGATAGAAGTAGCTGACGTTACAGGTACAAGAGCAGGTGTAGGCTTGGGCATCTGTGCCATGTTTGCCGTTGTGCTAACTGGTGGATTGGGCTTGAGTTGTGCTGTAGGGTGTACTGGCATCTGCAGCTTTGGCTGGACCTGCTGGACATTTGTCGTAGTCGTGGTAGTGGTGGGCACTACAGGCTTTGGGGATATATTTCCTGGGGGGGTCTGTGGTTTTGGGGCCATATGACCTGGAGTGCCTGTGGGTTTTGGTGCCATTGACCCAGGGGCTCCTGTGTGTGCTGGTCTAGGCTGCATGGGGTAACCTGTCTGCATAGGTCGTGGAGGCATTGTCTGCCCCATGGTTGGAGGGTGCTGAGCAGCGGGATGCTGCGGAGGGCCGGGCATGTTGTGTGCAGGTGGCGGTTGATTCATGCCACCTCCCATCTTGTGGGGATCCATATACCAGGTGTTACCAGAGTTGTGTTGATTATGACTGTTCCACCTGAAAAGTAATAAATTAATTAATATAAGAGAGATTAAAGTGAATTCATACAGCTATTAGCAGTTAGTACAATACTCGATACATATTCTGAGGAACTTTTGAAGTATTTATTAACAAATATGAATCCTATACAAAAAACATGATAAATTTTATAAAATAGTTTAACAAGAACACCTCAAAAGATTATTTTGGTTAACTGTCTGCTACGAGTACAAAAACAGTACAAGTGCCAAGATTTCAAATTGTGTGTCACAGAAGTTCAAAATGAGCAGAGATAAGATTAAGGTTATGAGAATAAGTATCATTAGTCCAGGAAAAAAAGATTAGACATAAGATTAGAAGGAAGGAGTACTAGGGAAACAAGTGGAGTTGGTGTACCAGCAGATGGGTCTATGAAAGATGAGGAAAAAATCACAGAACAGATAAAGAATGAAAATAGCAGTACTGATGAGTCAGTGAAGAAAGAGAAGGTTGAAAAATGAAAAAGGGAGGAGGCGTTGGAGAGAATGCATCAAAATGTTGCAAAGGGTTTAAATCAAACTCCACTACGTATTTAGTAGCAAGGAGACTGGTGGCAAAAGGTCATGTCAAAGACCAATGTATGGTGCGAACATTATGCAATAAAGAAGGCAGGAGACAATGTACATAAAATTCAAACCTATGATAGTGAGGTGTGCACTTAGAATTATAGTTATATATGCAGTACATTTGCTTCTGCATAATGCACAATACACAAGTCAAGAAAATTAGTAAGAGCAAGAGAGAGAGAGAACAAGCAAGAAGCAGGCCAGAGAACAAGTGAGAAAACGAGAGAACAGGTGAGAGAGAACAAGCAAGAAAACAGATGAGAGAATAAGCAAGAAAACAGATGAGAGAGAACAACTGAGAGCGAGAGAAAAAGTCGGGACACTAAAACAAGAGAATACGTATATGAAAAAGTGAGAATGACACTGATAGTGAAAGTGACAGCAAGTAAGATCAACAATCAGAGTGTGATAAAGTGAGGGGAACAGAAGAGGGACACTGGGGAGGAAGTCGGGCTTAAAAAGGAGGGAGGGGAATGGGGGCGGGGAACTGGAGAGTGGATAAGGGGGCAGGGGAAGAGGTGAGGAAGAGGGAAGGGGCAAAGGGGAGGGGAAGAGAAAGGAGGAAGAGCAATGAAGAGGGAAGAAGAGGAAAGGGAAGAGGAAGGAGAAAGAGGGGTGAGATGGGGATGGGAGAGGAGAGGTAAGTGAGGAGAAAGGTAGGGGAAGGAGAGATGTCGGAGGGGGCAAGAAAGGTAGGAGAGAGGGGGAGAAAGGTAGGGGGAGAAAGGTAGGGGGAGAATGGTAGGAGGGGGCAAAGTTGGAGAGTGGTGGAGTTGGAAAAGAGAGGGAGTGAGAGGTAAGAGAGGTGGAAGATGGGGCAGAAGAGGTAGGGGGTTTTCAGATGGGAAAAGATGTACAAGAAGAATAGGTAGTGAGAGAGGAAGAAGGGTAGGAAAAAGGAAGAGCGGAGGATGAGTAGGAGAAAGGAAGAGAGAAGGATAATGAGTAGGAGAAAGGAAGAGAGGAGGGTGAGTAGGAGAGAGAAAGGAAGAGAGGAGGAGGATAAGTAGGAGAGAGGAAAGGAAGAGGATAAGTAGGAGAAAGGAAGAGAGAAGGAGGATGAGTAGGAGAAAGGAAGAGAGAAGGAGGATGAGTAGGAGATAGGAAGAGAGGAGGAGGATGAGCAGGAGAAAGGAAGATAGGAGGAGGATGAGCAGGAGAAAGGAAGATAGGAGGAGGATGAGCAGAAGAAAGGAAGATAGGAGGAGGATGAGTAGGAGAAAGGAAAATAGGAGGATGAACATGAGAAAGGACAAGAGGAGGAGGATGAGTAGGAGAAAGGAAGAGAGGAGGAAGATGAGCAGGAGAAAGGAAGATAGGAGGAGGATGAGTAGAAGAAAGGAAGAGAGGAGGATGAGTAGGAGAAAGGAAGAGAGGGAGAAGGTACAGTATGAAATAGGGAGAGAGGGGGGAGAGATGGGTAGGAGATAAGGAGAGAGGAAGAGGGGCAGGAAATACGGAGGGGGAGGAGGGGAAGAGTTATAAGATGAGGAGAGGGATAAGAGGTAAAAAAAAAATGAAGAAGTGACAAGGAGAGGGGAAAGGGGAAGAGGAGAGGGAAAAAGAGGAGAAGAGTAAGAGAGAAAGAGGAAGAGGAGAGGGGAAAGAGGAGGAGAGAGAAGAGGAGAAAAAAGATGAGAAAAAAGAGGAAAACAGAGAAAGAGAAGAGGAAGAGTAGAGGAGAAAGAGGAGATGAGTAAGAGGAGAAAGGGGAAGAAGAGAGGGATATGCTGACTTTCAATACTATGACATAACACAACACATGCTGTCAGCCAACATTCACCAGACATCCAAGGAGTTAGAGAACCATTTATTGTACTTCTGAAAATAAATTCAACAGAAACAAACACCTATATTATACTCCAAAAACCCAGAGAACATATGAATAGCACTGCAGCAGGACTACTGGCTCATGCAAGACATGTCTTAAAACTTGTGTAACCCATTATTAAAGTTGCCTGAAGCATTTTTCATTAAGGCTACTTAAAGTGGTTATAATCATAACCATAATTTTTAAGGGGGTGGAAGGGTAAGTCTGTGGAAGGCCTCGGTCAGATGACCAAAATCTCCAACTGTGGGTCATCGTATGACTAAGACCCACATCAGGAAACACTTGTCCTGTTTCCTGACAAACCTTACCTAACCTACTTAAGATTTTTCCACTGGTCTAAAATTCTACTACAAAATTAGCGCTTTCCTCCATTCTTACTTAATGTGCGCTAGTGAAAGCACTTAATTCATATCCTCTGTACTTATCTTTGTCTTACAAGTGCACAATCCAGTCAGAGCCTCTCCTCCTACTCCACATTTCTGGTTTTTTTAAGTCCTGTGTTTTCATCAACTTTTGGAGAAAAATATTCCCCAAAGAAGGATTTATGTTGTCAACATTTCTTTGCACACTGTTTTCCAGGATATTTAGATTCATTCTGTCATATAAAACACAAAAAATTCACCAATTATTTATTTCTTGAAAATTATTAAATTTAGCAGTTTTTGTAAGTTACTGGTGAACTTTTATGTTTCTGAAACAAAGAAAAGGCCAGCAATTTTGCCAGTGCAGAACCTTTTAACAGGCTTTTGTTTCACACTCATATGACAGCTGAAACTATCTTCCCTGGGGAAGGTTGGACCTACTACCTGTGACAAACCTGTAGTAAAGACATTGACAGATAAAACACAGCAACCAAAAAATTATTATTTGGTGTAGTCAAGTGGTACTGTAACAGCTCTTGCAAGGGGATCACCCCCCTGGTGATAATAGTTTGACAGCCTATCTGACTCATGGTTAACAGATGGAGATCAAGCTTCCACTGCTTAAACTTTTCACTGTCACCCACAAAGATCTATGTCATTAGTGCCAGTGTTGTTCACATATATCTATATTTTAAGTAGTGCTCCCTCAAATGTGCTGGGAGTGGTAAATCAGGACTAGACTTGAGTGAATGGATCTGTGGAGGCAGCATGTACAGTATAAAAAAAATCCTGCCCCATGCAGTGCAAGGGGCACTGCATGTGTTTGGTCTAAAGTAATAACTTTAAGGTGTTTTCTAGGGTGGTTTTTATGGGTTTTTTTCTGTTTCTTAATACCATTGATAGAATAGAAGACATACTAGTGAAACAGATATGACTGGTTGGTTTCAGACTAGTCAAAGAACTAGCCTCATCCTCTCAGCCTGTTTTAAGGGCTTTTACTAGGTCTGCTTCAATTACTGGGATGGCCTAAACCATGACCAATCATTCTTGGCTATATGTTATCTGAAATATTGTAAAATTGCAATTTGTTGTGATAATGGATATAAAATGGAGAGGAAGTGTTATATAGGAAAGGACTGGATATATGATTAATAAACAGAAGAAAGGTTGCTTTAGCCACTTGAAAGCCTACAGTATTTATTTTAGACTGTGATTTTAAATTCACCAGATTACTGAATTGTTTACGTTACAGGGTAGTTGTGATAGCTGAATGGGTGGTGTCTTGTGATTAATCAATAGGATGGAAGGTATACTAGCAAAAATAACTAGGAACTGGGTCAAATTTAGCACAGGACTCACAGTGGGTGAAATTGCCAATGCATAAATTGTGCCCAGAGTGCCAACTTGGCACCTCTGTAATTACACAAATTTTCCATCAAATTTTACATTTTTGGTGTCACTACCTTCAAGAAAAGATTCAATATAATTTCAGAAGAAATTAAGAAAAATAAACAGCAACACTGACAGCACTTTTAATTTTGGGGTGATGGCAGTGAGAGTGAGTTAATCTAATTACTGTAATCATGTTCCCAAGCTTACATTTCACTTTAAAATATAAAAAATATTAAATTAGTGTTAATAAAACAAATTGACTGCGATGGTCTAAATCAAACAACAAAGGAAACAGTATGTTATAAGATATCCAGTGGATATCTTATGATGTAAATAAAGTAACATCCAGTGGATATCTTATGATGTAAATAAAGTGATATCCAGTGGATATCTTATGATGTAAATAAAGTAACATCCAGTGGATATCTTATGATGTAAATAAAGTGATATCCAGTGGATATCTTATGATGTAAATAAAGTAACATCCAGTGGATATCTTATGATGTAAATAAAGTGATATCCAGTGGATATCTTATGATGTAAATAAAGTAACATCCAGTGGATATCTTATGATGTAAATAAAGTGATATCCAGTGGATATCTTATGATGTAAATAAAGTAACATCCAGTGGATATCTTATGATGTAAATAAAGTGATATCCAGTGGATATCTTATGATGTAAATAAAGTAACATCCAGTGGATATCTTATGATGTAAATAAAGTAACATCCAGTGGATATCTTATGATGTAAATAAAGTAACATCCAGTGGATATCTTATGATGTAAATAAAGTAACATCCAGTGGATATATTTTGATGTAAATAAAGTGATATCCAGTGGATATCTTATGATGTAAATAAAGTAACATCCAGTGGATATCTTATGATGTAAATAAAGTGATATCCAGTGGATATCTTATGATGTAAATAAAGTAACATCCAGTGGATATCTTATGATGTAAATAAAGTGATATCCAGTGGATATCTTATGATGTAAATAAAGTAACATCCAGTGGATATCTTATGATGTAAATAAAGTGATATCCAGTGGATATCTTATGATGTAAATAAAGTAACATCCAGTGGATATCTTTATGTAAATAAAGTACATCCAGTGGATATCTTATGATGTAAATAAAGTAACATCCAGTGGATATCTTATGATGTAAATAGTGATATCCAGTGGATATCTTATGATGTAAATAAAGTAACATCCAATGGATATCTTATGATGTAAATAAAGTGATATCCAGTGGATATCTTATGATGTAAATAAAGTAACATCCAGTGGATATCTTATGATGTAAATAAAGTGATATCCAGTGGATATCTTATGATGTAAATAAAGTAACATCCAGTGGATATCTTATGATGTAAATAAAGTAACATCCAGTGGATATCTTATGATGTAAATAAAGTAACATCCAGTGGATATCTTATGATGTAAATAAAGTGATATCCAGTGGATATCTTATGATGTAAATAAAGTAACATCCAGTGGATATCTTATGATGTAAATAAAGTGATATCCAGTGGATATCTTATGATGTAAATAAAGTAACATCCAGTGGATATCTTATGATGTAAATAAAGTGATATCCAGTGGATATCTTATGATGTAAATAAAGTAACATCCAGTGGATATCTTATGATGTAAATAAAGTGATATCCAGTGGATATCTTATGATGTAAATAAAGTAACATCCAGTGGATATCTTATGATGTAAATAAAGTAACATCCAGTGGATATCTTATGATGTAAATAAAGTAACATCCAGTGGATATCTTATGATGTAAATAAAGTGATATCCAGTGGATATCTTATGATGTAAATAAAGTAACATCCAGTGGATATCTTATGATGTAAATAAAGTGATATCCAGTGGATATCTTATGATGTAAATAAAGTAACATCCAGTGGATATCTTATGATGTAAATAAAGTGATATCCAGTGGATATCTTATGATGTAAATAAAGTAACATCCAGTGGATATCTTATGATGTAAATAAAGTAACATCCAGTGGATATATTTTGATGTAAATAAAGTAACATCCAGTGGATATATTTTGATGTAAATAAAGTAACATCCAGTGGATATCTTATGATGTAAATAAAGTAACATCCAGTGGATATATTTTGATATAAATAAAGTATGAACAGTAATTTTTCATTGATGTTATATACATGATGATTGTAAAACTTCTCAAAATTCAGTAATGTAACATTAAGTAAGAAGAGGCCCTGTGCACTGGCATTGATAATTATTATTATAATCATGGGGGAGAGCTAAACCCATAGGATTATACAGTGCCTGTGGGAGGGGGGGGGATGGAAGGTATTCAAGATCAATTCAGAGAATTGGAGCACCGATCCAATTCCTTAGATCAAGAGCCCCTCACCAGCATCAAGGAACTTCCCTTGAGGGGTCACTGGCAATGAATTTTTGTTATTATTCACAAAGTTAATAAAATGCTTACCCATGCTGATCAAACATAAACACTACCTTTACTTGCAAATAAAAATTTTATGTAGATCACCAATAACCTTACCAAATTTACTTTTAAAATCAGTATTATTATATTTAGAGGAAGCACTAAACTCATAGGGGTCATACAGTGCCTAGGGAAATTAAGAGGCAATCAGGTTTGATCCATGGAAGGGAAGCATAGGTGTAATTATTGGATCAAGAGCCCCTCACTGACATCAAGGAACATCCCTTGATGGCATACTTAAATCAGTATTAACGACCAATAAAGTTACTGATAAATCCAAATGCAACAGAAAAATAATGTCAGATTAAAATAATCATCTCTACTTTACTAACATAACATAGCCAGAGTAAAATAACCATCTCTATTAACATACAATAGTATACAACTGCTACTTGGCATATTCTAACCATTAATTATAGTTTGAATTACACAATATTAAGTCTGTTTTCCAGTTGAGATATTATTATTTTGTGCAAATGGTAAAGAGATTCTGACTATACCCAGCTAACCCAATCTAGCATAACAACCTCACTCCATCATTAGCACTGGCATGTCTTTGTTTACATTCAGCCAGTGCATGGTACAGTGCTAATTACTGATTTGCTCAGAGGTGCTGTGCAACCAAAATGTACCACTTTTGCTAATATCTCCCAAAATAACAATTTGCACAATTTTTTTCTACTTTTTCTGTGGTGTGCATAGGTTGTATATATAGTAAAATGTGAACTAATGCCAGAGTTTTGCCAAGCAGTAGTTGTAAACTTTAGCCCCATATCATGCATCTATGTTGTTTACTATCCACCTTTTCCTTATTAAGCAATTTATTACAACCTCCCCTTAACTGGTAACTACAAATGCAGTACATATAAGCCTTAATTTAAATCATGAGATCTTCAAGAGTGCAGCATGCAGTTTTAATGGGATGCTAAGGTTCTCTTCAATGCTGAATTATAGTTAATATTAGTTAAGTAGCTAGGCCAGGAACTATGTCTCAACCCCTACAATCACAACTTGGTGAGCATGCCCCAGCAAGTACATTATGATTTATGTCCATGGGAAAGAGCTGAACCTATAAAGGTCATATAGCACTCTGGGAATGGGAGACAATCAGGTTTGATCCAAGGGGATGGTAGCTCAAATTCCCTGGATTTAGAACCCTTCAACATGAAACCCTGGAAAGTAGGGAGGACTGACATGTACTGATAAGCATCATTATTAAGTAAGTTTATTTAGGTATAGGTACACATAATTACAATTATCATACATATTAACGTGTGTAAACTATCCACTAAGATAACCCTAAAAACGTCAGTCACAGTGAATTATCTCCACTCGAGTCCTTGTAACAAACCCAAACTTCTGACCCCAATTCTTGACCCAGCAATGTTCCCCATTCCCACTCACCCACAAACATTATACAAAAGTTATCCTTAACCTATGCCAGGTAGTAAATAATTATAAACACATTTAATCATAGCACAGTATAAGAAACACCGAGAGGTTAAAATACCAGCAACAAACAACCAGAGTAACGGTAACAACGAAGACTACCATGAATATGGCATCAAATAAACTGTTAAGAGTGACCGTGTGATAGAGGGTAGCCAGCATGGTTATGACATGACACTGTGCAAGAGGAATAACACGTGGAAGATAAGATAGAGAGGAAAGAAGAGGAGAGGAGAGAGGAGGCGGCGGGTTGGAGGGACCCGGAACAAGCCGGTCTCGTACCCTGACACCTTGCAACACTGACTTTTTCTGCCTTTATTTAGCCGTCCACAGGTGCGCCCTGGAGCCCTGGTGCTGGCAGGACCGCGGATATGGACATGCAGGATATTAAACAAGCCCGAGAGGGGAAAAAATCACGTTGAAGACACTGTGACACCAAAGCACAATAAGCCTAACGACTCCATGGCGTGTGTAAATAAAGCCACAAGGATCCACAATTTACTCATTTTACGCCTCAATCTCACCGTCTTAATCACTGGAGAGCTTACCCCTAGCTAGGCTGACACGTCCAAGTCTGGGTGATGGTATTTACGGCCACTAACGCATTAACAGGTGTTAAAATCGCGAGAACCTAATCTGCCTTTCACAGATCAATTCCAAACATCGGCCATAATGGCATCATAGTTTGCCAAGTGGCCGCCAGAGGTCACCACTCACCACACACAAACATAGCTTATTATGCCTCATTTAGGCGCCGCTAAGCCCCTGAATGCTTTTTTAAAATGCTATATATCGCGGTATCTTGCTCGGCAGGGAGGCGGAGGGGGTAAAAATGGCGAGGTTTGGTGTGGATATATGTGAATCTGGCAGGTTGAGGCAGCCGCCACTCCCAACATGCACCGGCGGGACGCGCGCTGCTCACTCATACTACCTTAGACATCTTCTTAGACATCATACTTCATCATTCATATTACCTCTATATCACCTCCCATGCCTATGTACAACTCTACTCCATATGTTATAACCTTAAAACTCTACAACTTCATTCAATAAAACATCATTAGAGATTTACTACATCTCTCGTATTTGGATATTCTTATTAAGCGGGTAAGATGTCTATAGAATGAGAACGCTTAAAACTTTAATAACAATGAAATACCGCCGTAAACAACGTGCAAAATAACGGTAAACAGAGAGGGATCATTTTCTTTTGTTGTAGTGAGGAAATCAGTTGGTGTAGATGACTTAGGCAGCATCAGTCATCATGAAGAATGCGCCCAAACTAAAGCGCATCACTGCCCTTTCTCTCTCTCCTTCAATTACTACTGAACATCATCAACCCTTTCCTGATTTTTTTAAATCTCATTCTATCTCCTTCCTTACATGGATAAAGCCACTACCAGCCAGGGCAATATACTTCCTCCTAGCCTAGAAACTGACTAAAATAGGCGCGCTATTTTCTACAATATTAAGAGGTATTAGCATCATGTTTGAATTCAATTCTTTCCATCTCGTGAATGCATTATCTAACCCGCGCCTTTTTCAACTCTACCTAATATGTAAATCACTAAGTTTATTTAGGTAAGATAAGATAATATTTCGTTCGGATTTTTAACCCCGGAGGGTTAGCCACCCAGGATAACCCAAGAAAGTCAGTGCGTCATCGAGGACTGTCTAACTTATTTCCATTGTGGTCCTTAATCTTGTCCCCCAGGATGCCACCCACACCAGTCGACTAACACCCAGGTACCTATTTGCTGCTAGGTGAACAGGACAACAGGTGTAAGGAAACGTGTCGAAATGTTTCCACCCGCCGGGAATCGAACCCGGGCCCTCCGTGTGTGAAGCAGGAGCTTTTAGCCACCAGGCCACCGGGCCAGGTATACATAGCTACAATTATCATATATAGTATATATTACCAAGGGTTATCCTAGGTAATGATGATCTAAAGGACCCCTACGTAAATATAAATTATTATTTTTTTCCTTATTCCTAGTATATATCCTTTATTGTGAAATATCTCCTACATTGTATAATAATAAGGTATTAAAAGGACCCCAATGGAAATAAGTCACTGAATTTTTTGGGGTTATCCTGGGTTCTCTACACATATGTTGCTATGTATGATAATTTATGTACCTGAATGTTGATGTGTACCTGTACCTGAATGTTGATGTGTACCTGTACCTGAATGTTGATGTGTACCTGTACCTGAATGTTGATGTGTACCTGTACCTGAATGTTGATGTGTACCTGTACCTGAATATTGATGTGTACCTGTACCTGAATATTGATGTGTACCTGTACCTGAATATTGATGTGTACCTGTACCTGAATATTGATGTGTACCTGTACCTGAATAATAATGTGTACCTGTACCTGAATATTGATGTGTACCTGTACCTGAATGTTGATGTGTACCTGTACCTGAATGTTGATGTGTACCTGTACCTGAATATTGATGTGTACCTGTACCTGAATAATAATGTGTACCTGTACCTGAATAATAATGTGTACCTGTACCTGAATAATAATGTGTACCTGTACCTGAATAATAATGTGTACCTGTACCTGAATAATAATGTGTACCTGTACCTGAATAATAATGTGTACCTGTACCTGAATAATAATGTGTACCTGTACCTGAATAATAATGTGTACCTGTACCTGAATAATAATGTGTACCTGTACCTGAATAATAATGTGTACCTGTACCTGAATAATAATGTGTACCTGTACCTGAATAATAATGTGTACCTGTACCTGAATATTGATGTAAAAAAGTTTATTTGCTTGCAAAGTTTACAATGTGTGGGTTACATATTAAAATTATTAATTAAAGTCCTCTAGCATACCTAGGTATACTTGCACATAGGTATACCTATATACAATTCTCACAGTATATATTACCCAGGATAACTCATAAAAGGTCAAAATGATTTATTTCCATTATGTATTACCTGGAGTTTACCTGGAGAGAGTTCCGGGGGTCAACGCCCCCGCGGCCCGGTCTGTGACCAGGCCTCCTGGTGGACCAGAGCCTGATCAACCAGGCTGTTACTGCTGGCTGCACGCAAACCAACGTACGAGCCACAGCCCGGCTGGTCAGGAACCGACTTTAGGTGCTTGTCCAGTGCCAGCTTGAAGACTGCCAGGGGTCTGTTGGTAATCCCCCTTATGTATGCTGGGAGGCAGTTGAACAGTCTCGGGCCCCTGACACTTATTGTATGGTCTCTTAACGTGCTAGTGACACCCCTGCTTTTCATTGGGGGGATGTTGCATCGTCTGCCAAGTCTTTTGCTTTCGTAGTGAGTGATTTTCGTGTGCAAGTTCGGTACTAGTCCCTCTAGGATTTTCCAGGTGTATATAATCATGTATCTCTCCCGCCTGCGTTCCAGGGAATACAGGTTTAGAAACCTCAAGCACTCCCAGTAATTGAGGTGTTTTATCTCCGTTATGCGCGCCGTGAAAGTTCTCTGTACATTTTCTAGGTCAGCAATTTCACCTGCCTTGAAAGGTGCTGTTAGTGTGCAGCAATATTCCAGCCTAGATAGAACAAGTGACCTGAAGAGTGTCATCATGGGCTTGGCCTCCCTAGTTTTGAAGGTTCTCATTATCCATCCTGTCATTTTTCTAGCAGATGCGATTGATACAATGTTATGGTCCTTGAAGGTGAGATCCTCCGACATGATCACTTCCAGGTCTTTGACGTTGGTGTTTCGCTCTATTTTGTGGCCAGAATTTGTTTTGTACTCTGATGAAGATTTAATTTCCTCGTGTTTATCATATCTGAGTAAGATTTTATTTATATGATAAACCAGGTTCAATATTAACATTATTTTTCAAAGTACAATGCTGTTAAAAACACAACACTATGTAAATTACCTAATTTAACTACCAAAAATAATACATCAAGGGCCTCCAGCAGCAACAGCCTGTAGATGAATGGTTTAGAGAACCGACATGTTGATAAATTAGACACATGTGCAACTCTTGGGTATCTTTATTGAGGAAACGTTTCGCCACACAGTGGCTTCATCAGTCCATACAAAGGAGAATCTTCAAGATTGATGGACTGAACACATCGACTCAAGGTTGAGGGACTGATTACCTCATTCTCCTCCTGTTCTTCAAGATTCTCCTTTGTATGGACTGATGAAGCCACTGTGTGGCGAAACGTTTCCTCAATAAAGATACCCAAGAGTTGCACATGTGTCTAATTTATCAGCAACAGCCTGGTTGACCAGGTAAGCACCAGACGAGCCTGGCCCATGGCCGGGCTCACAAGTAGATTAACTCTCGAAACTCTTCAAAGGTATATCAAAGGTAAGGACAACTTTCTTTTTTGGGTTATAACGTAGGGTAATATACACTATGTATAACTTCTTATGTGTACCTGTACCTAAATAAACTTACTAATGTGACATTTGGTATCCTATTCTGCACTATTTTTTTTTTCAATTAACCGGCCGCTTCCCCACAGAGGCTGATTAACCCAATTTATTTTTATAATCAAAATTAGATATAACTATTTATTCCTCAAAAATTTTCAAATTTGATGCGTTTATTTTGTGGAGAATAAGAGACGTAAACTAACGTAAGGAAACCCAACCTAATTTGTTTGATCTTACTCCGACAGCGGTATATGTGGAGCTGGTGCGTCTTTGTTGACGTTCAGATGCAGTATGTGTTGGTGCGTCATTCCGTTTTGAGACGCTTTTGTTGACGTTCTAAATCTAACGCGTCATTTTTTGCGTTCTAATGAGTCTTTGTTGACGTTCTAATGCGTCTATGTTGACGTTCTAATGCGTCTATGTTAACGCTCTGCTGCGTCTGTTTTAACGTTCTGCTGCGTCTGTGTCGACGTTTTGTGTTGACGTTGTGTCTGTGTTGACGTTCCACTGCGTCTGTGTTGACGTTCCACTGCGTCTGTGTTGACGTTCCACTGCGTCTGTGTTGACGTTCGTCTGCGTCTGTGTTGACGTTCTGTCTGTGTTGACGTTCCACTGCGTCTGGGTTGACGTTCCACTGCGTCTGTGTTGACGTTCCACTGCGTCTGTGTTGACGTTCGTCTGCGTCTGTGTTGACGTTCCACTGCGTCTGGGTTGACGTTCCACTGCGTCTGTGTTGACGTTCCACTGCGTCTGTGTTGACGTTCCACTGCGTCTGGGTTGACGTTCCACTGCGTCTGTGTTGACGTTCCACTGCGTCTGTGTTGACGTTCTGCTGCGTCTGTGTTGACGTTTTGTGTTGACGTTCCACTGCGTCTGTGTTGACGTTCCACTGCGTCTGTGTTGACGTTCTGCTGCGTCGTGTGTTGACGTTTTTGTGTGACGTTCCACTGCGTCTGTGTTGACGTTCCACTGCGTCTTTAGTTCACGTCTATGTTAAGTCAGTTTTGACGACCAGCAGTGTTAACCTCAAAACCAATCACCCGGTCTGTTATGTTTTTGTTGATAATTCTACTGCAGATTAAATTCCACTGCAGAATTTAAAGTTATTGCCAGGGTATACAATTGTATATTATACAAAAAAATCATAACGGGAGTGTGAACTTTAACTCCTGATCTTCCTACTGCTCATTGCTCACCAGGAAACTAGCAATGTTGTAAGGGTAGCAACAGTGGAATGGGAAGTTTTCATCAATAAGTTACGTGGATGGGGGTGGAACTCCTTAATTCCTCTTTGATATCTTGCACAATGCTCCTGTTGATCGCACTGCAAGTGTAGAAAGATCTTGAGGTGAAGATATTTCCGTGGCAGAGCTTATTTTTTAAGTCGCTGAAGTGGGGAAGATTTTTCCTCGTGTATGGTGTTCTAAGAGACGACTCAAAATGCCGGGAGCAAGGGGCTAGTAACCCTTCTCCTGGTTTACTTATAAAGTGAATAAGAAAACT